CCCGAGGCGCAACTGCCTTCAGGGGGACATAACTTCCACATTTAACATCCGTTAATAAACTGTTTTAGGGGAGTTAAACATTCTGCCATTTAACAAAGAAATCTGCATCAACGGCACTGTGTCTCTCTCCCTTCTCGCTCCCAGATCAGCTTCTCTGATTGGTTGATGTGGTGCAGCAAAAGTTAAAATTTTCCAACTCCAACATCCGCTGCTTGTGAAGCGCGTCACATGTCTCAGCTGCTCAGGTGCGCGTTAACCATTGACTTTTCATGTAAACGGCTGCTTCTGCTGCTTCATCACGTTAGGTAGGAACCTAGCATAACAGACAAGAGGAGGACACCTAACTGACTGTCCTTTAGCAGAGAGCAGGCGGACAGTTGGTAGAAATGGGAACATTTTCATGCCCACATCTGTAGATGCCATGAGCATGTAGGACACAATTTTCTGTGGGATCGGATGCAAATCTGATTCGGTGTGTTCAGGGCTTTATGCATTCAAGTATACCCCTCAGGAGGAGGAGTATGCTTGAAAATAACCTGAAAGCTTTAATTGTCTCCTGAGTATGGACTATTCAGCATTAGTCCTCTAGTCGAACTGCATTTGGCAAAAATCACATTGTGTGGTTGTTGAGCAAAGGAAAGTTGATAATAGCACAGAATGCCTATTTTCATGAAGCGAAAGGCATATCACAAAGCAGGTTTAGTGGAAATCCATTATAAGTTCAGCAGTAACTTCATCCACACCCTGACTTTTCCATTTCAGCCAACAGACGCAGAAGGGCAGAAGAATCCTAACGGAGAATCCAGAGCAGGTGAAGGAGCAGACACGAACAGAATAGAACACACAATAGGGTACGCAGGAACTTTCACACTCGAGACAAATAATCTGGCAGGCAATAAACAGGTAGCTTAAATAGGAACTGGAACAGGTGGAATAGATGAGAGCAGCTGAAAACTGGGTGGAGCTAAGCAGGTGGAAAAAAATATCTAATAATCCAGTCATCAGTACCAATATTGTCATCCAAAATCATTCATATTTTTTTGGATTATTTTGGATTTCTAGCTTTGATGCACAGTCCACCAACCAAAACAAAAGCTAACTGTTATCAGTGTAGAAGAATCAGCTTAACCATCTGTAATATGGTTACAATATGGTTCCTCAAAAGCTTAAGACTTTTGAGAAGGCACCTCCTGTTTGGATGTGGCATTTGTAAATGTGTTGCAAATGTTTCCTTCTTTTTGTACACTAGCTAAGAAACATTCCCTTGGGACTCGAACAGCTCTGCTCAGTCGTTTGAGAAACTACTCTCACAAGTGCAGCACATAATCTATTTATATCAGATTAAATAACATTAAAATTTTAGTAAAAGAAAGATAAGCTGAGGAAAGTTTATCTGTAAAATTTTTAACAGATTTAAAGGAACAGAAAACTCAAATTACTTTATGTGATGAACACATGAAAAACAAATTTTAAAAGGTAATTTTCAGATGCATAATAATTGAAAGTAAAGAGAAGTTTGTTTACAAACCAAAACTAAATATGTTTCAGCCAATAGTTTAAATAAAACAAAAAATCAGGAATGTTTAATGATTAATTTGTGTTATCTTTAGTCAAAATATTTTAAACTGGGATAAATATTTTTTCCAAAGTTCACAGTGAAATAAAAATTGAAATGTTATACTGTGTAAGACGAAAGGCAGGCAGCTTTACTTGAAACGTTCTAACCATGTAAGAAAAACAACACATTTTAACTTAAGTTGGTTGGAAAAATTCCTGAATGTCGTCATTTGCTCGACTATTATTCACAATAAAGTAGTCAACATTTTTTAGCCTGATTTGTGTTTTCAAAAAGTAAAAAAATAAATTGAGAATAATGTCAATTTTACTTACCTTTGCATTTGTTTTCATTGATGTCCTCACTTTGTGATTTCAACAGAAGAGTTTAGACTTATGTGTATCTGTCTCTCACTATCTTCCCATCCTTTAGGGGTGTGGCTATTTTTACATGTTTTTTTCTCTAGTTTGTTTTTTCCACAGAGCTATGTAAATAGAAGACTTATGCAATTTTTTTTAAACAACTTATCTGCTTACAAGGGGCAGTTGGTGCTATCCTGGCATTAATTGATGGTTTTACCTCTGGCTTGAGGCATGTTATCTAGTGAGGGTTGTGGTTCTATCTGACAGTGATAGAGCTATCCCCTAAACTAGAGCAGCAAGGAACATTCAGGCCATACAACGCAATAAACGATTTTCAGTTCAGAAAGTGTATTTTATGTATTATATTGTTTTAATTGTGGTAGCTGCACTAGTGAAATAGTAATGCATCTGGCTTTAGTTAACTGTTTTATAGTCAGATTACCAACAAAACTAGGTTGATGTGTTTAACCCTTTAAAGCCTTAACCATGAAATAATTGACAGAAAATTCTAATTTTCCAAAATTGGAGTTGTCATTGAACTTTCTGACAAATTAAATAAAAATATACATTTTTAATTTTATTTTTAAAATTACATCTTTTAGTTGCATCAATTTTTATATATTACTCATTTCTATATAATCTTTTATATGTTTTCCGTTCACTACTTGTATCTGATTATGTCAGTGAGGGTTTCAAGAACAAAAACATCACACTGATGATGCAGACGATTCAACAACTCAGATATCAAATATGATGCATTTGACTTTAAAGGGTTTATATTACCAGGGGAAATTGTAATTAAAAAAACACAAATACATATTGAATAAAAAAAAGAGATTTATTTCCTTGTATCACTATTACTTAATATGAAATAGGTTTATATGCTTTAATTAATATAATTTATAGTTACTTCCCAAGTAAGAAATAAGATTGGGATTTGGCATGTTTCATGTAATTATTTTATAGTCAGCTTAATACTTAAAATCATTTATTTCTGCTGAACATAAGCAGTTTTCAATGTATTTAAACAACAAGATATTTTAGGCAAAATAATATTATCTGTAGCAGTTAATGGAAGTGGATTTCCTGTTATTTCGCAGGGTGCTTTGCATCATGCTAACTGTGTCATTTGAAAATGTGTTTTATATTTAGTTATTTCATAAAACTATGGTTCTTATTATTCACAACTAAATACCTTGTCTGAGACAGGACTTCAGGGGTAACATGTGTGTTATATGCAGGGTCTCTCCTGCAACTAAAGGGTTGATAGTTCAAGTCCTGAGACTGGTTTTAGGTGCCATTGTGTCCAAAGGCAACCAACTTCACCTGAATTGCCTACTGATGGTGGTCCCAGGACAGCTGTGGCTACAACGTTGCTTAGCACCATCAGCGTGCCAGCATGTGAATGACTGAATGTATTGTAAAGCGCTTTGGTCAAGTCTAAGTACAGGCCATTTATTATCTTATTACGGTATCTAATATAGTTAAGAGTTTAGATTTGATACTTTTATAAAGGAAATTTAAAAATCATAGAAAATATAACCATTAATTTGCAATATAAGAAACACCATCAATGAAAGTCAATAATATTAATGCAACTGGTAAATACTAACTATACAGTGCTTTTTTTTAAGTTAGGAGACTTGACCAAAGTGCTTTAGGCCTTCAGTTCTTCACCCCCACACATCATCAACCTTGTGGCAATCCACATTGTAACCACAGCTGCCCTGACGCTCACTAACAGAAGTGAGGCTGTCAGGCCCTCTGACCACCATCAGTAGGTAATGTGGGTGAAGCGTCTTGGCGACACGACATTGAAAACCAGAGCTGGGGCTTGAACTGCCAATCCTTAGGTTGCAGGAACAAGTCCCGCATCCGCCACTGTGACCCCACTAGAATTCAAGAATATTATTTAAATTGAACCAAACTACAGTGATTACGCCTTATTAGTAGTGTTGCATCAATGCAGATACAAGTATCCAGCAGGCCCCGATCCAGCACTAAAATGGTGGTATCGGTATCGGGAGTACCAACAAATAGTGCACCGATTCCATTTTGAGAGCCCAAAGTTTATTCAACTAATTTCACTCATTCCAGATAGGCAATAAAAAGTTCTACTGGATTCACTTTGTATTGGTCTTTTTCCTGCTTCACAAAGGTAGGCAGCAGCTTGACAAAGCCATGATGGCAATTATTTTACACACACCCACACACACACACACGCACACACACACACACACGCACACACACACACACACACACACACACACACACACACACACACACACACACACGCACACACATGTTGTGTCACAATATCCTTGTGGGGACCTTCCATTGACTTCCATTCATTTCCCACTAATTTATATGGCCTAACCGTGACCCTTGCCCTAACCCTAACCATTACCGACACATACCTATCCCTAAACCTAACCTAAACTCAATTCACACCTTAGTCCTAAACCTAACCCCCACCCCAAGAGGAGAAACTTTCCTTATGGGGACCAGTTGTTAGTCCCCACAAGTACTATATGAGTCCCCAAAATGTAGCATATTCCTTGGAAATTGTCCCCACCAGGTATTAAAGACATGGCCACACATAAACACACACAATTTCAATTTCAAACAGATGTTATCTGTATGGTATCGGTATCGGCAATAATGCACAGCCAGGTATCGGGGAGAAAAAATGGCATCGGTGCAACACTACTTAGCCTATTAGTATATGTTAAGTTTGACTTACAGCAAGTTATACAAATCAAAGTCTATAATGCTGGATTTAGTAATTCTTAGTTGTCTTTAATGGTTATTATAAAAGTATCCACGTGATACTCTTTGCACTTAATTAACTAAGCCAATTTGAACCGGTTGACCTACGTTTAACATAGCATTTGTGTATTTTTTGGGAAGCTATATCAGTGCCCTACTATATGTAGTTTATGCAAGCTTCCCCTTTTTAAACTGCATAACTGAAAGAAAGTACTCTCTAATAGTATGTCATTAATGTTGGTGCTTAAGCAGTAAACACGGCTTGGTCTTGTTTTTTTGGCAGTGAAACACAGGCTGAGGTGTGCAGTACTTACCATGTAAAGCATTTCACTCGAAGATGGGCTGACAGCTGAGTGGGCTTCATTGTGCTCCCTCACACATTCTGCAGTGAAGTTCTTGTCACTGATCTGAGGCAGCGACAACCATGGCCCACAGCAACCTCCTCTCAGTTCTCTGTAAAACTCAGTCTGTAAACTGAAACAAGTTGAAGGGACACAGGAAATGATTCGATATTGAGAAACAGGATGCAGAGTGCTTTTTCAGAAAATATTCACAAAACAATTTCCTCACCTACAGTATGTTGCGCACCAGACTCAGCAGATTTCCAAAAGCAGCATAATGATTCGTGCATTTTGGGGCAGGGCTCTCTTTTTTTCTCTCGAAATTTTGGTATAAACCACATCTGATAGATTTTAATACCTACTATGAAAATGGAGGTGAAACTGTGATGGTTTGGTGATACTTAATGCTGCAGCAGGACCTGACAAGAGCGACTCTAAAGAATCCACATTGAATTTCTTGTTGTATTTGATGGCACATGAGGAAAATGTCAGACCATTTAAAAACTAAAAAAATAAAGCTCTGAAAGAAATGAAACCTGTAAGATGACAATGACACAAAACCTGCCAACTTTCTGCAGAGGATCGAGTAAGAAATAAAAAATGACTAGACTTGTGTTACAGATGACTTCAGGAGGTCGGACCCAAAGTTAAAGACGCATTTTTTATATCTCCAGTATTACACCCTGCCACATCATCACATGTCATATTACATCATACACGTTTGCAAATATGGAGACATCTCTGGGTCCAGCCATATCAAAATAACACCCTGTTCTTAGATCAAGGCCACTCCGAATGCCCAGTGAGAGATGGCTCACTCTTAAGAATCATCCACTCCTTCTGCAGAAAGAGCAGATCCGTTCATTTCCAAATCTCTGTTATATACATAATGAACATTATAACTGCATATCCTGAAAGAGGAACTGCCGTATTACATAAACTGCTTAGGAAAACATTAGTTTTGACCAGATCTGTCAGGTAACAATGTACAAATACTTTGTTACCTTACTGAAGTAGAAATTTCCTTTATCTATACATTACTGGATAAATTATTTTTTATAAAACTTTTTACTTCTACTCCTTTCATTTTTTTTGAAATTGTCTCTACTTTCTACTCTTTACATTTTATGAATAGACTCTTTAGTTTTGTTTCATAAGCGCATTTTCATTGTCAAAATCATTTGTTTCATCATGACAATAATATTTTTTGTGGTTGGTGCTACATGTTCACCACAAAGCATACCATACCATACCAACTTTATTTATGAAGCACTTTATACACTGACAGGACAGGACCAAAGTGCTGTACACGATCATAAAATACAATCCAATTATAAAATAGAAAGGATAGAGTATAAAACACATATTAGTATACAAACAAAATAAAACTAAGTGAAACCTCTTAAATTGTGCCAAAACCCAAAGAAAAAAGATGAGTCTTAAGAAGGGACTTAAAAATAGCAAGAGAAGAGGCCTGTCTTATGCTCAAAGGCAGATCATTCCATAGTTTAGGAGCTGCCACAGAAAAAGCATGGTCCCCTCTGAGCTTGTATTTTTTGTCTTTGGGACCCTCAGAAGCAACTGATCAGCTTACCTGAGGGATCTGGAGGGTGTGTAAGAATGTAGAGGCTCAGACAGATAAGGAGGGGCAAGGCCATTAAGAGTTTTAAAAACAAATACCGGTAACAGAATTTTAAAATCAACCCTAAAATGAAGTGGCAGCCAGTGTCAGGAAGCTAAAACATGGGAAATATGGTTGAATTTTCATGTACCCTTTAAAAGACGTGCAGCAGCATTTTGAACCCTCTGAAGTTGGGAAATATACAAATCACTGACCCCTGTATAAAGTGAGTCACAGTTATCCAGCCGTGTGGTCAAAAATGCATGGATCACTGTTTCGAAAAATGCTGTCTGGAAAGAATGGGTTTTACTTTGGTTAGCTGCCTTAAGTGGAAAAAGCTGGATTTGATAACGGCTCTGATGTGTGCTTCCATCTTAAGACTAGCATCCATCTTAACCCCTAAGTTTGTAATAACAGGATTAATGTACTGGGCCAAGGAGCCAAGACTGGTCAAGGAATCAGCAGTGGATCTGCCAAAGTAATTACCTCTGTCTTGTCTTCATTGAGTTTCAAAAAATTTAGGCCCACCCAGGCCTTCACATCTTCGAGACATAAAAACAGAGATTGAAAAGAGGTGAAGTCTACATTCTTTAGCGGTAAATATATCTGTGTGTCATCTGCATAGCAGTGAAAGGCAATCCCATGTTTTCTAAAAATAGACCTGAGAGGAAGGATGTACAGCAAGAAAAGAAGCGGGCCTAGAACTGAGCCCACACGACAGTGGAGCAGAGGGGCACCTATGGGCATCAAAACAGACACAACAAGTATGTTCAGCCAAATAAGATCTAAACCAATCTAGAGCTATGTGGCAGATGCCCACTCACTGTTCCAGACGGGAAAGTAAAATGACATGATCAACTGTATCAAAAGCAGATGATAAATCCAACAGCACCAAAACAACAAAGTCACCTGAATCAGTTGCTAAAAGTATATCATTAAAAACTTTGAAAAGAGCTGACTATGTGCTATGAAATGGTTTAAAAAAAAGACTGAAAAACATCTAATGTGTAATGTTCATTAAGATAAGCCATTAGCTGATTACAGACTACCTTCTCAAGAATTTTTGAAATAAAAGGCAATTTAGAGATACGTCGATAATTTGCCAGAACAGTAGGATCCAAAACTGGTTTCTTAAGTAGAGGCTGCAGTACTGCATGTTTCAGAGTTTTAGGAACAACGTCTGAGGACAAGCTACTATTTACAAGAGCAGGGACAGAAGGACCTATAATAGAGAAAACGTCTTTAAATAATTCAATTCATTTTATTTATATAGCGCCAATTCACAACACAAGTCATCTCAAGGCACTTTACAGTTCAACCAGTTCATACAGTCAAATTGATTGCGTTCTGCTCTGCGGCAGTCTCTCCTGGTAGCCGGAGTGACCTCATTTAACCAGGGTTCACGCTTGGATTTTGGAAGTCTAATTTTTAGTAGTGCCAACAAATGCAAGGCTGCTTTACTGGTAGAATAAAACCAGTTGCTGAGTTCCTCAGTCTTATTTCCCACAGCCTGTGGAATGGTACAGTGACCAGCAGTAGTAGGGTTTTAAAACATTACAGAGCCAAAATGCGGCTCGAGTTTTAGCTTTTCCACGGGACAGCGTTATCTCAAATAAAACAGGCATATGGTCAGAAAAGAATGAGTCACCAATTTTTAAATTAAAGGCTGATAGACCATAAGATAAAACCAAATTAAGAGTGTGATCATACTCATGAGTAGCAATAGTCACAGAGTGCAGAAAATTAAAAGAATCAATAACATTAAGAAATGCCTGAGCCATAGGTGAAGTCGGACAGCAGACATGAATATTAAAATCACCAACAATGAGAACCCCTTCATATTTTGGCATGATAGCGGCCAAGAAATAAGGAAAAGTCATTTATAAAGTTTTTTTATACTTTGGTGGCCAATAGACTGCAGCACACAATATGGTGTGAGAGCTTCCAAGTTCAAATAGCTATTATACAAGGGTACAGGCAACTGTTTGCAAGTAAAACAATTTTTAAAAACAGTCACTATTCCTCCAACAGAGCCCGACATCCTTGGAGAATTAAAATAGCCGAAGTTCAATAGGACAAGTTCATTAAAAATGCTGGAGTCACCCAAGCCACGTGTCCATGATTCTGTTATAAATAAAACATCTAATCCTTGAAAGGAAAAGAAATCCCTAATTACGAAAGTTTTATTTGCCACCAACCTGGCATTTATCAAACCGATCCTGACAGAAATCGGCAGATCCACGTCATCAGCTGCCGTCCGGGACTCCCGGCAGAGAGGGCGCAAATTGCTAGGATTCCCCCTGCGTCCACAGGGCCGAGAAGCGCAGGGGCCATGGGACTGGACGATCCATCCCGGCCTCTACCGACAGGAACCAGACAGGAATCCACAGGATCCAACACACAGAATGGGCAGGAAAGGCGGAAAGGAAAGGCACCACCCCACACATCCTGGAGGCAGAGAAACTGGGCCGCAGAGCAGCCTTCAATCGCACTAGCTGCTATAGGTCATCAGTACTGGTTTCCAGTCGAGGCACCAATGTCCAGCAATGTTTGGCGATCATACACAATCAGAGAGTTTAATATTAAAAGCGGACAGGAGACAAGGGCAAAACAGGAAGAAAGTCAGACGGCAAGCCTCAAACACCATCTTGCCAAAGCTAAAATAAATAGCCATGCTAAAATAAACAGTTTTTTCATGATAAAGCTAAATTTGACAAAATGAGTTGTGCGCAATAACACAACGAGTAAAAGAAAACTCCTGTGAGTTCAAGATATCTTTTATTAAAACGTGAGCTGACGTAGATAACAGCAAGAGCGGTGAATTATATAAGCTGTGAGCTGTACAAAAAGCAGAAATAAAAGACGTTGATTAAAGGTAAAAATACATGAGCTCTGAGCTGGACACACACCAAGCAAAATGAGACTAATAGAGGAGAACAGACAGAGAGAGTGTGTATGGAGCGGCATGAGTGCTGCAGCTATTTTTAACTGTGTGAATGTGAGTGCTGCAGATGTTTAAAGGGATAGTTCGGTATTTTTGACATGAATCTGTATGGCATCCCCATCACCAGTGGCATGCAATCACACTGACTTACCCCTGGCAGCGTCCTGTGAGCAGAGTTATCGTCCAGTTTTGGTCAAGCCGAAAGTAGTCCGGCAGGTTTGCTAGAGTCAGCGAAATAAAACGTTTCTCTTCCCAAAACATTATGTGTTCAAAAGAGTGATATTTTTGCATCCCAAAAACGTTGTAGTGGAAAAAGTCCCACGTCGTTATCACTTGGTCCTCTTTTCTCTCTGTTCGTATCAGTGCGCGCCGTCATTCAGACAGCGAGCCCAACAACAGCCATGTTGTTGGGCTCGCCTGGGCGGAGGGAGACATGGCTGTTGTTGGGCTCGCTGTCTGAATGACGGCGCGCACTGATACGAACAGAGAGAAAAGAGGACCAAGTGATAACGACGTGGGACTTTTTCCACTACAATGTTTTTGGGATGCAAAAATATCGCTCTTTTGAACACATAATGTTTTGGGAAGAGAAAAGTTTTATTTCGCTGTTCCTAAAAACCTGCCGGACTACTTTCGGCTTGACCAAAACTGGACGATAACTCTGCTCACAGGACGCTGCCAGGGGTAAGTCAGTGTGATTGCATGCCACTGGTGATGGGGATGCCATACAGATTCATGTCAAAAATACCGAACTATCCCTTTAACTGTGTGCTGTTGCAAGATTTATATTGAGTGTTGCTGAGATTATAAGCTGTGTGACACCAAATATTTTCGCTCTGTATGGAACATAAAAGGTCAAAATAAAAGGAGGTAACAGGAGGTAAATATAAGGAAATAAAGCAATAAGTGAACATAACTGGATAAATAATTCTAAGAATATAAAAACTCAACAAAAGGAAGAAAAGTGATCACTTTATATCTGCAAAAGATGTCTGCTTTCACTTCTAATTGCTACTAAGTCACAACTATAAAGGGTTAATTGTACCCAATGCTTAAACATATTTGGTCGATAACTTCCAAATTACTACAGAACAAGTTGTTACATAAACTGGGGATATAAGACAAGTTAAAGTTTTGTAAGGCGACATGTGAAAGCTTTAAAACACAAGTATTTTTTATTTTTTCTTCTCTCTCTTCTTTTCCTTTCTTTTTCTCTCATCCTCACTGAGGCAAAAAAAAACCTCCCGTTTCTTCCTCTCTTCTCGCACTATGAGCCTGCTGGGTGTGCGCTGACACACACACACTCTAGAAGCTTTAAAATGCCATGGCGTTCTATATCTGTTTAAAATACAGAAACAGAAGGATATTATTATAAACATCACTATGTTAGAAGCCGGCATATGTCTGACTTTATAGTCTGTTTTTGTCTAACTGTCTGTTGCATGCTGTTTATTCAATATCTGTCTGGGGTATAAAATAGTTGTCCTATTATGTTTCAGTGTAAACAGATGATCAATAAATACGATATGGTCTAGACAATTTCTATTAGAAAGGGTTTTGGTTATCTTTCGTTCCAGTTGTTATGCAAATGCTGTTGATGTTTTGGAGGTAAACCTTGAAAAGGAAAGCTGAAAATATAAGAAATATATTGATTGATATATTTACAATTTACGATGTCTTGAAATTAACCTTTTAAAGGTTAGAAGATCTATTAGTACATTTAAGTGCTGTAAACCCTAACACTCCCTAAAATTAAGGTCCAAAAAGTGGTTCCGAGTTCTGTCCCGAGGCAAATGGAAACACAACACACAAACACATTATCTGAACACACAGATTCTGCCTGACTCACACAGAGCAGCCATTCACTTAGAGGCAGGAGAAGAAAAAAAAAACACACACACACAGAGACAGAGTGCATGCAGAGGCGATCAAAGCGAAACGGGGGACCAGGAGTTTTAAAGCAGTTTTAACTTAAAGGAATAGTACACCCAAAACATGATTAGCCTTCATTTTCTACTCACCCCCATGCTGAACAACACTCTGGAGTACTTTTTTGATATCTCAAATGCATCTGGAGATCTGGGAGGCTTCTTGCTGTCTGCTGACATTCAAATAATGGAGGTCTATGGCGCCCGAGACAGAAAGGTCCATAAAAGTCCACAAAAAACGTGTCAATATTCCTCCATACTGCTCGTCCAATGTATTCCAAGTGTTCTCAGTGGGTAGCATCCAGAATTTACTCGAAACGAAGTCATTTAGAATGTTTTTAGAGCATAAACAGTAGAGTATAGGATTTCCTGAAAGCGCGCGCCGGCGCGACGCTACGGAAGCCGGCAGACCAAGCCAGATGAAAGTGCGCATTCAGCGTCTGCTCTGCCAATAATGCAAGCGTAGAAGAAGAAATGTGCTGTTTACCTGTGCAAAGAAAGAAACAACGAAAGAAAAATGTCTGAGGACTTCAGTGTTGAGGAAGAGCATGAGTTCTTTGCCGAGCTGAATGCGCTGGTTTGGTCTGCCGGCTTCCGTAGCGTCGGGAGCGTGCATGTGCACGCTTTCAGGAAGTCCTATACACTACTGTTTATGCTCTAAAAACATTCTAAATTACTTCGTTTCGAGTAAATTCTGGATGCTACCCACTCAGGACACTTGGAATACATTGGACGAGCAGTATGGAGGAATATTGACACGTTTTTTGTGGACTTTTATAGACCTTTCTGCCTCGGGCGCCATAGACCTCCATTATTTGAATGTCAGCAGACAGCAAGAAGCCTCCCAGATCTCCAGATGCATTTGAGATATCAAAAAAGTACTCCAGAGTGTTGTTCAGCATGGGGGTGAGTAGAAAATGAAGGCTAATCATGTTTTGGGTGTACTATTCCTTTAAAGACAATTATTACCTTCCCACCCTTGATGGTTCTGGAGATCTGGTTCCCCTGGGGCCCGCATCTCCACTGTGGGGAGAACCAGCCGCAGCAGACCCCAGTTTCCTGGGCAGGAGGCAAAGAGCAAAAAGAAAGAGAATCCTTTGTGCTCTGTGGTTTTGTTCTTTCCTCACAGAGAGAGGGGTAGGTTTTCACACCTCTGGTGGCTTCCATGTGACTTACCTGTGGAGGCCTTTGCTGAAACGGTGGTTGTTGCAGAGATTCCACAGCTGATTCCACATTATCATGTAGAGATGAAATATGGACACTGGTTCCCAATGTCCAAAAAGTATGATCATGGCATATGGTGCAACACATGTAAATGCAAAACATGGCGGGGGAAGTTCTAATCAATGAGTCACTGTACGTACAGATCTCCAATGGCTATCTGGGAGCACAGTTACTGTACATGGAAAACTTAAAGGACTGTGGCCCTCCAGGGTACTCTCTGCTTGGGTATATTTACAAGGAAGTACCACCAAATCTGACCAACATACAGACACTGTTCTGGATGAACCGAGGTGGTCTGTTTTTTGCAAGGCTTTCGGGGCTTTTCCAGAAATTGATCCTCTCACCAAGCTGATTCAAAAGTTCTGAAATTTAACAGCAATCCATGGTTAAGCTTCTATTATAAAAATGCCAACAGCAACCCACTAAATAAGGTAAACATTCCCACTATATATATTAAGTGCCAGAACAGGAATGCCATATTATGCTATGCAATAACTGCTTATTCTTAAAGAAGCGCAGCACTAAGGTCTGCTGGGATGGTGACGTCATCAACCGGAATTAAAAATGATTCCTTCTTAAAAAACAAATCAGCACAAACACCCTGCACAAATCAAGTAACACTGAAAAGCAGATCATTTTGATTCAGTTCTGAGCTTAATTGGTTGTCTTCTGGAACACCTAAAAAAATCTTATCTAATAATATCTCTGAAACAAAAGTAGAACACTTTTTTTTTAATGATCATAGCTGCACAAACCTGGACTACGACCAACCATTTAGTCTATTTAGTTTTTTTAAGTGGGTGGGGTGTCAACTTCACGAAGCTGAAGCTCCTCCTATGTGATGGTCCGGGGTGTAAACTCTGCCTTTGAAATGCAGAGCGGGGCTCACAGCGGACACTGTTCACGGTCTGAATGCACCTTTAGAAGAAAATCTGTGTTGTTGGCTTGCAGGTGATTGAAGATGAATACATATGACCATGTCTTTGAAATTGATTTTTTAGGGAACATCTTTCATATCCATAGAAAAGGGTCTTAGTTACAATTAGACATTTAGGTACAGCTCATGAAAAATGGGAGCAACAACAAAAGTAATAGGTTTTTATTTTAGTTTAGTGTGATAACACCAATACAAATGTTTAATTTAATTTCAAAATAAATATCTTAACACGCGTATACATAAAAGCCATATAACCACTTGACAATTACCTTGAAACAAGTAATAAATATTTTGTTGTTGTAGAACCCTTTTTACCCAGTCCAAATCCAATGGAGTTATTGTTTCTCAGATAACGTATACATAGGAGGAATCGTGGTTAAGTATGAACATAATTTATTCCTGTCATGTTTAACAAAATCATTAATTTAAGCACAAATTGCATAAGAAGATCTCACCCTCTATCAGGCCCTTGAGTCTTTGGCAATGTCAGGGGAAGACCTCACTACTGTCTTTCCCTTTTTATCTTAAAGTCAGTCAAATAAAAAGAAAGTAATCTTCAACAGTTTAAAGCAAGTTACTTTAAAGATGACGTGTTAAATAATGTTTTTTAAAGCCAGTTATTATAAAGTATTTTTACAAAAAATATCAATAAAATTATCTAGATCTACAATAATTAAACATACTTTGTAGCAGAAATGGGATTCAAATTTTGAACACACAGTTTCTAATTGCTATGACTGACTAATTTATTGTGTAGAGTTGACAAATATCAAAAATAGCTATTGCCTCACTTGTGGCAGATAGAGATTTTGGACTGTAACAAGAGTTCTTATTTGCTCAGAACATAGGTAAGAACACAGAGTAAAGCAGCGGTGTTAGGAGAGTAATGTTTTCTGCCTCAGGAAGTAATTTTCACAACTGATTGCAATTATTTGGATGGGTAAGCAACTTCATTTGGACACACATGTATTTGCAATACACTGATGGCTACACTACCCTTGTGTGCCCCATTTTATTTACTATTGTTTTGCCTTTTCATAATGTAACTAAGTTTAAGTAATCACCAGTAGCTGTCCAATTACCTGGGCTATTCTAGTGCTTTTTAAAATTATTATCAGAGGGACATATGTAGGACAAAACAACATTTACCATATTCTTTATTATGGGAGGAGGTGGGTGGAGGTTATGTGGCAGGTGGTGGGCTAAAGTCATCTCCCAGGCATCAACAAATCGCACATTGACCTCTTTAAATACTGTCCTTAGTATCTTGTCACGTTGAATTGCAAACCAGTCACTGCTGGTAAGTGAATCGTACAGTGTTAGTGCTTTGGGGTTAGCAGTCCTGATGATGATCATTGTATCTGGTGCTCTGTTCAACAGCCGCAACACTGCCCTTCTTATGCTCAGCAGGCGTCTGATATAGACCTCAACAGGAAAAGAACTGAAGTGTGCCCAGACTCCTATAACTACAGTAGTGTCTTTGCCACCAACAACACCATCCAGTTCACTGGCAATATAACCTGTATTTATAACTGGCAAGTCACGAAAACGAGCAGGAGGAGCGTGGCAGCGGAACTTTACTAAGGTGTTTTTTGTGTAATCCAAGGCCATGAAAGGTCCTGTCTGCTTTGATGTTTTGAGGTCAAACTTCTTGAGATCTGAAAAAGGAAAACAAAATAGATAAGAGTATGAAGCACTTTCAGCTGTTACTAGAAATTTCCCCAAACAGAGGTCACTAAACGTGGGGCATTTCTCAATGTGCATATTAGTGCATTTTCATGTGCTAGTAAAACATCATTAGTCTCAACCCTAGTACTGTTCCAATTCACAAGAACACAAGACCAAGAACGGACAGAAACCACAGATGTTGTTCTCGCCTCTCCCTCTTTACCGAGCATGTATCTAAGCAGACTTGTGCATTCTTCAGTGCGACACCTGTCCAGCATGCACCGCAGCAGCTTCAAGGGTAGCTCAGAGAATTTAACTAAAGGTTATTTTCTCTTGCTGTTGTTCTATAAAAGTACATTTTAAGGTCATTTGATGCAAAGACATTATACTTTCAAGCTTTACTATATGCTGCTCCGCGACCCAGTTCTGTATAAAGCCGGAGACGACGAGTACGACAAGCTTTACTATATGGCCAATTAACTGATTTAGTGCGTAATAAAAAAAATTCTTTACCTATATTGAGAGGACCGTGTCATACAGTGGAATTCCAAGGATAAGCGCAGCCAGGCCTAACGTTAGCAGCAGCAACCCTCTCTTTAATGTTGACAATGTCAGTCACTTATTTTCTCTGGTCCATTTCTTGTTTTTACCAGTGAGGACATGTTTAGCTGCAAGTCACTGTTCAATCGCTGGTTGTTTTCTGAAAAGTTGTTATGGTATGTTCACAAATGGCAAAATTTTGGGGGAAAACCTGCTCTGATTAAGAGAGATGGCATACATCCCTCTTTGGACAGTGTAGCTTTTCTTTCTAGGAAGCTGGAAAAGGTTTGAGTCCTCTAAAACTCTGGCAACCAAGGGTCCAGATCAGGAAGGAGCTCTCAGAAATAAGATGCAGCAGTCTCTATGAGCTATTGAGGGAGTGAGGATTAACTTGGAGGTTTTAGAGAGAATGATGAGCAAGAAGGTCTAACAAAGGACACACCTAGTCTCCAGGCTAGGCAAACCAGCATAGAGCCCTCCGAGATCAGAGCCTGGGCCAGGCTGAACTTTCGATGTCTCAGCTTTCCAAAACAGAGACCAACATACCTTGCAGGCCTGGGAATTTAGGCAAAATATTTCCAGCTGAAAATTTCGGGTTATTTCTGATGTAGGGAAATTATTCTTTAAAATATTATTTTACCAATTGTTTTATTTACATCTTGGATTTTAATTGTGAACTGATTTGAAAACATTCCGATCCCTCCGAATTTGTGCAAAAGCTTATCTAAAATCCCTCATGCCAAACTCCTGAATATGTCATGTTTGAGAACTTTGAGAATTCACAGTAATGTGATTCTCATATTCCTGTTATTTGTTCTGTTTCTCTCATAGACATAACTATGGGCTCAACTGTTGCTGTGAATAATTCTGTGTTCTCCCTTATCCCTTTTGGCTTAAAAACCTACTAAGTGCTCATCTGCTTAACTTTTTTCCCTTCTATGTTTCCTTTGTGTGTCTGCTTCTGTCTTCTTGAACTCCAAGTTGGCCTCAGAAGGTACCTCACACTAAGCCTAGTTTTGCTGGAGGTTTCTTCCTCCTAAGAGTTTTTCTAATCTATATGAATGCTCAGTAAGAAGGATTGCTTCAGTGAAAAACACAATGAAAGAAAAAGTCTACTGTTGCCACAATACATTACAATTCTAAAAAAGTATTTGTATCTATGAAATCAGCTGGGTTTCTTTAAAGAGACATTGAGTTTGTTTTAACTGAAAAATATCTTTAAATTTGCCTTTTTTTAAACATTTATTAATCAAACATTGTTTAATGAGCAGAATGACACCTCAGTAGTTCAGGACCGATGCATCTATAAGTTTGTAGTCTATTTTACTGAAAGTACTTCGGGTCAGAAATTTACCCGCTGCTCACCGGATGTGACATCAAGCATGTCCATATTAAATGGGTCCTAACTAGTAAACAATCAAAATGTTAAATTCAAGTTGGATTTTGTGAATACTAAGAAGTGACAAGCATCCAGCTCAACTCAGCTACCAATGGCAACTCTGGGTAAGGTGAATAAGTAAAACAAAAACAAAAAACAGTTCTGTTTTTTGGCCACAGGTAGTAGTATCATTAGAAAACTCTGTATTGCCTCTTTAAATAAAATAAGAAAATAGAAAATAACACTTTTAACCAGTCTGGCTGGATGATTTTAATAGATGGTCTCAGTAACGTGCATTATGATTACAAGTGTTGTGTGTTGGGAAACTACCTGGAGTGTTTGTGATTAAATATTCAAACCACTGCCTAATGAAGGAGTCTCCAAGCAGGTGCAACACTTTGCCTTTCAGACACTGGCTAATTGCAGAGTTATTGGTAAACTGGCGAACCGTGGTGCCATCTAGTGCTCGCCATTCTCCCTGGTAGTAA